AAAAAAATCTTTACTGTCATTTTTGATCAATTGAATGCTTCCTAACTGAATAAAAGTATTAATTATATATATATATAAAAAATAAATCTTACTGACACTAAACTTTTGAACAGTAATGGATGTTCTTGATCAACTCTGTAATTCAGTCTAGTACTGCTGTTACAATCATGGTTGACTGAACTAGATCTAGAACAACTGAATGACAGTTGTATGCTCAGCTGTCAGTTTACAATATTAAATTCTTTTTTCTTTTCTCTTACCTTAATGTTTTTAACTCTGTATGCTCTTCCTTTGGTGAATGTATGCCGTCTTGTTCTCTTCCTGGATCATGTGACTCTGAACAAGAGTCAGACTGTCCGTTGAGTTTCTCTGAACTCAAGATGGAGCTCTGAGAAGATGAAACCAAATAAGCTTCTGGTTCCTGCCATTCTGTAGGCTGCTTCTGCTGTCAGTGCAAAAGAGACACATACACAGTACCTGTGGGTTTTTTTATGTTTATTGACATGTTACACATCAACTATTCACATACACTGCAAAGCAAGATTACTACGGTTTATCAAAATAACACATGCACAAGAAAAAATAAATAATTCAGTGTTTGATTTGGTGAGGAAAAGTAACAAGTAATGCAAGAAACTATGTAACACATTTATTTACACTGCCATTCAAATGTTTGGTGTTTTTCATGTTTTTGAATTTGTTTGATAAAAAAAAAAAATACATTAGAAAACATACATATTGAAATATTTGTATAATTTAACTCTTTCCCCGCCAGCATTTTTGAAAAAAGTTGCCAGCGATTTTGATGATTTTCACTAAAATTTGATGGCCTCCAGAATATTTTGCTGTATGAATATTTGAATATGCAATACACCAAAATAAAGATCAGAGCCTCTACTTTTAAACAAAAAAAAATCTGTTTTATTCTAGCTTAAAGCATTCTCTTTTTATCAACACTTGAATATAGGTAGGTTTCATAAAAATGCATAATTTTGAGCAAAAAGGTGAGAAAATCACATTTTTATCAAAAACTACATCTGGGTAATATTCAGTACGATTATCAAAGCATAAATCCAGTAAATCGCTTCCATCAACACCTCCAAAGCTTGCACAGATATATACCACTTCCTGGATCAACATTTGACTCTGTAACATTATGCAGTTTTCATCTATATGCTGCCATTGATGCATTATTTTTTTCATATGCATCGGTTTACATAAGAGATCACTCGTTTCTCCGTCCTGTTCACGTGTGTTTTTTTTGTTCGGGAGGTTTTGTATTCGTTCAGAAGGTGTGTAATAGCGCCCCTGAGTGTATAACAGTGAAAACACGAAAAGCCGTAAAAACTCATCTTTGGCGGGGAAGCGTTTTCTTCTAAAAGACGAGATCACTCGTCAATGGCGGGGAAAGAGTTCATAATAATTTAGAACAGCTTTTTTTTTTATGCAACACTGATTATTACTATACTACTCAAAATCAAATGTAATAATGCAATCACACCATGCTTGTTACCTGTAGAGCTGAGTTTCCGAGGATGCTCTTTGCTCCCTCCATGACTGCCATATATGAAAATCGAAGCTGATCTGGGGTTTGGATAAGGCCCATTCGATACTCTCTCATATCTAACAAAATCTTTTGTATGTCCACAGACGAAGGGTCTTTCCTCTTGTCCATCTACAAAAACAAAACAACACTGAATTGTCAGTTCCACAGTAATGAATGTACATAACATAATGTACATACATAATGAATGTGATAAATGATGATGTGCTATAAAACCTTTAGAATCATTCAATATTTTCCAACTGCAGTCTTACCAAATCAAGGCAGGTGTCAACCAATGAGAAAGTCCCAGATCTTCCTATTCCTGCACTGCAGTGGACCACCGCAGGTCCGTTCTCTGGCCCCAATGAGCCAGACTCTCGAACCTGGAAAAGGAAGTTGAGGAATGATGCTGGGGACTCTGGCACACCAAAATCAGGCCACGTTGTGTAATGAAAATGGTAGATCTCTCTGGTTTCTCCAGTCTATAAATACAGGACAAAATTTCAACAACATTCATTTTTCATGTCTTGTTTAGAGAAGCATTTAATGATTTAATAATTTAACATTACATTCACCTTGCCATTTTTAAGTTCCAACAGTCTGATTTTGTAATTCGGTTTGGCATCCTCACACACCAGAGTCACCATAAACCCAGTGTCAATAAAATCCATGTCTCGCTCCTCCTTTGATGGCCAATACTGTGCACATTTCTCCTGTTCAGATTGAACAGAAACAGCAAAAAGCATTTCAAAATGATTTATCACTGTTTTTTTTTTCTACTAAGCAGCAAGCAAATCCATATTACTACTTATCAACATAATACACAATAATCAAGACAATTAATTGAAATAGTAATGCGTAAAGAACTACCATTCAAAAGTTTGGTCAGAATTTATTATACAATTAAACATAGTAATATTGTGAAATATATCTGTGAAAAAAAATAACTGCTTTATATTTTAATACATTTTAAAATAAATTGTATTGCTGTGATGGCAAAGCTGAATTTTCAGCAACCATTACTACACTCTTCAGAAATCATTCTAATATGCTGATTTGGTGCTCAAGAAATATTGCTTATTATCAATGATGGAAACAGTTGTGCTGCTTAATATTTGAATGCAAAAATATTCAAAAAATTTCAGGATCCTTAGATGAATAGAACGATTTATTTGGAATGCATTTTGTGTATGTGTGTGTGAAGCAAAAACCGTTACTGTCAGTTTTGATCAACTTAATGCATCCTTGCTGAATATGACCACAAACTGTTTCTTTCTTTTAAATGAAAATGTTACATAAATGTAAAAACAAAGCAAGGCTAAGAACAAACATTTGTGTTCACTCACCGAGCCTTTCTCTATAACTCTGTTAAGCATAATAACTGCTTTGCAGCGTTGTTCCCAAATCATTTGCCAGAAGTGACCACAAGTGTTCCTCAGTGGGCCCTGCAGAAAGAGTAAAGTATCTGTAATTACATTAGAGAACGCACAAACAAGCTGGTCAATACAAAAGAAGGTTATGTTTAATGTAACCTTAACGTCGGTTACATTAAATTACAATCTATGAGACATTCTTCTTTGTTCTACAAAAAGGCTGTAAATGATGATTAAAAAGGGTTCAACATGCTAAACACAAATTCAATAAAAACAGGGGAAAACGTGTAAATCAAATTTGTTTGCATATAAGAAGAACCGCATGTAAATGTGTACAGTATTTAGGCCACATGAGACATCAGTGTAAGTCAGCTAAATGCAAACAGTGGACTTACTTTTTCCATTACTGC